GCCTGCCTGCCTCACTCCTCCTCCCTCCTCCTCCCTCCTCCCCTGAGGCAGGGGCCAGGCTCAGTGGCGGGTCTCTGTCCTTCTAACATCGATGTGATGTGAACGTTTAGATCCACGGACAGGAGGAAGCTAACGAGGCTAATGTCATTCCTGCTTGAGAAGTGCTCCCCTCCCCCCAAATTCTTGGGTCCTGTCCATGGTTTGGGGGAGCCCTGGTGGCACAGTGGTTAAGTGCTCGGCTGCCAACCGAAAGGTCAGTGGTTCGAATCCACTAGCCACTCCACGGGAGAAAGACGTGACAGTCTGCTTCTGTAAAAATTACAGTCTTGGAATCCCCATGGGGCAGTTCTACTCTGTCCTATGGGGTCGCTGTGAGTCAGAATTGACTTGACGGCAACAGGTTTGGTTTGAGGTGTGTCTGGGGGAGTTCTTGGTTCTCCGGGAGCTGTCTGCTGGGCACCTACTCTGGGTGATGTGAGTGACCAACCCTAGCATCATGGTGGCCACTTGAACTTGAAGCCAGCCCCAGGTGGTCACCATTCCTTGCTGGTCAGGGGCCTCAGCTCACAGGACATCCTGTAAGTTCTGGGGGTGACCGAGAAGAGTGGCTTCTCGGACATGAAGCCTTGTTGACTGCCCTTGTTTGCAGACATACCGTGGGCATTTCTACCGTGATCACCGCCATGGCTCAGGCACCTATACTTGGCCGGACGGCTCCAGCTTCACCGGCACGTTCTACCTCAGCCACCGAGAAGGCTTCGGCACCATGTACCTGAAGTCGAGCCTCTTTCAGGTGACGGGGGCAGGTCCGCTGTGTTTAGGCAGTGTACAGAGCATATCTAGGCTCTGGGGGAGTTTGTTTAACTAGAGATTGCTTTCTTGTTTTTACTGATTATAAAAGTAATCAATAATCAATCATCGGTATAATAGTCTTGTTATACCATATAATAAGCGTATAAATAGAAAGGGAAAGCCACCTTGTTATTCTCTTCCCCAGAGTAGGGAAGAAAATTATTGTATAGCCTTTAGATTTAAAAAATGCACCATCAATATTTACTTTTTAATTTATAAACTGTGTCATTCTACATATATTGCTTTGAAACTTGCCTTTTTCCTGGACAACTCTCCTGGTTTTGCAAATACAGATACATTTGGAGTCCCTGGAGGGAGCATCCCCGATGGCATACCCTGTCAGCTTCTGCTTGTGCAAACGTTCATGTATTTCACCTTCACTCCTGAAGGACGTTTTCACAGGATGTAGAATTCTAGGTTGCCAGTTAGTTTTCCCAAGCGCACTAAAGTCCCATCTAAAGATTCCATTCCTCTTTCTCTTCCCTTCCTCTCGGCCTTCCTCTCCCTCCTCCTCCTCCTCTTTCTTCTGGGCTCACATCTGCCAGGACCTGTCTGACCCTCTCCTGCCACCACCACGTCCCACACTGCCGCCCTCCTGTTGATGGCACCTGGGCTGGGCCTGTGAGGTGAGGGCCGCAGGAGCTTCCCTGAAATGTGCCCACACGCAGCCTCTCCAGCGCATTTCACCTGGAGACCCTCTGGCCCATCCTTACCTTCTCAGAGAGGCCGCCTGCCCCCCATCTCCCCACGCCCTTCCCCACTCCCTGCAATGCACTTTCCTGTACCTGATACCTTAGCTGTTTATGCATTTGCTTTCTTGTCCCCAGGAGGAGGAGGCTGGCCTCTCTTGGTCCCAGTACCCGGCACATACTAAGTCTCAGTAAATATTTGTTGAATGAATGAAAACATTTCTTAGACATGTACTCAGTGACATCACTAGGGCGGGTGTCACCCAGTGCGGGAACTCATGTTGTCACCACCCCCCGTGGACCTCCTCCTGTACCAGACCATACAGAATCCTTATTAACGTCTTTTATACTGTTACTCAGAAATTGTAATTCCCGTATATCGCTATCTTTTCCTTTAATTACTACTTCATTTTCAAAAAAGTTATTGATATAGGTTCATAAATACTAACTACCACAATATTATAGCTAAAACACCAGGAAACTTGATAAAATCAGAACCATGAAAATACCGGTAGCAATGAAAGCCACAGCGCGCGTTTGGAGTAGACGAAACCACGTGATTCGAAGCATCATTGTAATTGGGTGATAGGGCAGCTCTGACAGGAGAGCACCATTGTTGTTGTGAGGTGTCGTGGAGTTGGTTCCGACTCATAGTGACCCCGAGTACAACAAGATGAAACCCTGCCCGGTCCTGCACCATCCTCACAATCGTTGTGCTTGAGCCCATTGTTGCAGCCACTGTGTCAATCTATCTCGTCGAGAGGGTGCATTAGAAGGTTCAAAAAGCAAATTAGCATAGAGTTTTAGCCTTGTAGGTATACTGATACATGTAAGCTGGGCTTACGAAAAATGTTTTTGTTGTTGTAACTAACTACATGGGTTTTTATAGATGGTCATTTTGGTGTCACCCCCTCTGACCGTGTCATCCAGTGTGGGCCACACCCCCCTCGTGACACCACTGCATATACTTTCTTCTTTAGATTTTAAGGAACTGTATATTTAAATAGTTCAATTATTTTTATTTAGAGTAGTAGTCCATTGGGTGGATATAACACAATTTTTTATTTTTTTTTCTGTGGTGGTACGGTGGTTAAGAGCTCAGCTCCTAACCAAAAGGTCAGCAGTTTGAATCCACTTGCTGCTCCTTGGAAACCCTGCAGGGCAGTTCTACCCTGTCCTATAGGGTCTCTATGAGTCAGAATCGACTTGACAGCAACAGGCATCGTTTGTTTTTGGTTTATTATGGTGAAAAATATACACACCAAAACATTCGACAATAGGACAACTTCTACATTTACAATTCAGTGACACCGATTACATTCTTCATGTTGCGCAACCTTTCCTCTACCCTCTTCCAAACTATCCTACCACTGGCTTAGTGGTCAAGGGTGCGGCTGCTAACCAAAATGTCGGCAGTTCAAATCTACCAGGTGCTCCTTTGAATCTCTATGGGGCAGTTCTCCTCTGTCCTATAGGCTCACTATGGGTCAGAATCAACTGAACAGCAATGGGTTTTTTTTTTGGGGGGGGTGTTTATTAACATAAACTCAATGCTCCACACCCCCAGCAAAAATGTCCCCTTCCCCTGCCACCGGGGGTAACCGTTAATCCAGAGCACAGTTTCTAAAACTGATTTACCTGTAAGGGTCTTTCAGGTTTGTCGTCATGCATAAAGCTGCTAAGAACCTTCTATTACAAGTCAGGACATCCAGCCCTGCTGACTCATCGGGGCTCCCGGTCCCATGGGACTTGCTTCCGCAGGGGCTGTACAAGGCAGACCGGCGGTTCGGCCCGGGCGTGGAGACCTACCCCGACGGCAGCCAAGACGTAGGGCTGTGGTTCCATGAGCACCTCATTAAGCTGTGCTCGGAGATGCCCGGCAGCTTCTCCCTGCTCAGCTACCCCAAGTTGGCCCCCTTCCTCACGCACAACCCCACCAAGCTCAGTCTCTTGGACGATGAGAAGATGGAGTGGGACCTGGATGAGGGCCAGGACCCCTTCTTCTACGAGTATAAGCGGTTCCTTCTGAATGACGACCTCACGCTGCCCCCTGACATGCATGTCTACTCCACCGACAATGGCCACCTGCCCATGACCTACTCCTTCCGCAAGGACTTGGATGCTCGGCTCTTCATGGATGATATTCCGCCCTTCGTGGAGGACGGAGAGCCCTGGTTCATCACGAATGAGACCCCTTTGATGGTCAGAATCCAGAGGCAGACGTACAAATTTAGGTAATGAGCTGACTGCTCTCATCCATCCTGTCCTCTCCCCACTGGCCAGGTGTGCACATGAGGACTGTGCTCCTCAAATCGCCCAGCACCGGCTGCCATTCGGTGTCCAAGTCCCGGTCAAGGTTATTTGTCAGGCCAATGTAAATGCCCTCCTCTGATATGAGGCAGTGGTGGCTCTGTGGTAGAATGCTTGCTTTCCACACGGGAGACCCAGGTTTGATTCCCGGTCAATGCACCTTATTCACAGCCACCATTGGTCTGTCAGTGGAGGCTTGCGTCTTGCTGTGATGCTGAACAGTGTTCAGCAGAGCTTCCAGACTAAGCTGGACTAGGAAGAAAGGCCTGACGGTCTACTTCCAAAAATCAGCCAGTGAAAGCCCTACAGATCACAACACTCCGATCAGTAAGCGATCATGGGGATGGTGCAGGACCAGGCAGCATTTTGTCCTGCTGTGCGTGTAGTCGCCATGAGTCAGGGCTGACTCAGCGGCCGCGAACAACAACAACTACGACACAGTCTAAAGATGAAGCGGGGAGGGATGCCCACCGAGAGTGCGGGAGGCTGTGGGGACCCGAGCCAGGCAGGGCTGTGGGGCCATCTGTGGATGCACAGGGGAGCAGGGCTCCCGGGAGCCCCCCATTTGCTCTCAGGGGGAAGGAGTGGTCAGGAGGTTGCTGGGTGAGGGTGGTGCCAGGCTAGTGAAAGCAGACAGGGCTTAGGAGAAGTCCTGGGTCAGTGGAGCGGAGTCCAAATCCCACTCTGTGACCTTGTGTTGTTTCCACTTCTTTGGACGGGACCAAGTGCCCCCCTCCCCCGCCCTCCGGTGATGTCTATGATGGATGTTTTGGTGGATGCTAAATGAAGGGGGCTGTTATTACTGTGACGCATTAACACGGGATCTGGTCAGAGAACCAAGGACAGGAGAGCAGGGAGTGGGCCTTGGGGCTGGCGGCCCTCCCAGCTTCTCCAGGGAAGGCTGTAAAGAGCAAAGGTGCTTCTTTTGGTCTACAAAGAGCACCTACCCTGTCTCCTCACAACCCCAGGAAAGTTAACATCCACTTAAGGAGAAAACTAATTTTTTAATTAAAATATTCAGGAATATTTTAATCCTTTTCCTACATTTTGTCCTCAGATAGCACTGAATTGTTCAGAATGTGTAAATGCATATTTATGAGCACAAGTGGCTACTTTTCTATCCATCCACCCATCCACCCCTCTATCTACCTACACACCCATCTATCCAATCATCCATTCATCCATCATCCACCATTCATTCATCCACCCATATGCTATCCATTCATCCGTCCACTCACCCATCCATCCATCCATTCACCATCCACCCATCCATCTACCCTCCACCCAAGCATATCCGTCCATGCACCCATCCATCCATCATCCATCCACCCATCTATCTACACATCTATCTGTCCGTCTACCCATCCGTCCATCCACCCATTCATCCATCCATCCACCCATCTATTTACACATCTATCCATCCATCCACCCATCCATCCACCCATTCATCCATCCATCATCCATCCACCCATTCATCCATCCATGCATCTCCTAATCATTGAGGACTGTTGGGTACAAAAGGCACCGTAAACCCATGGATTCTTGATTATGCACACAGGTTAAGTGCATACAAGACATCAGGATTGTGCAGTGAATGCACCGTGGGACTTGAGTGTCCAAGTAGGAAATCGAGAGAGTAACAGGTCGGGCGTTGTGGGTGCTAGGTGCCAAGCTCTGTGCCCCACATGACTGCCCAGACTCCTCTCCACCAAGGGCCTTGCTCTGAGAGCCCCTGTCTCAGCAAACCCCGAGTAACCCACATGGTCCTTCTCTCTGCCAACAGTCCTGCCCAGGGCACGTGGATGCTCAGCCTGAGGACCTCTCTGGTCAGCAGGTCCCCACCTCTGGGAAGCGTCCACGCTGGTGGTCAGCACGGCCACTGGGGCCCAGGGTGCCTGAGGGGTGGCCTGGGGGAGCGGAGGGTGGAGGGGCTGAGGAACGAGAAAGGGAGAGTGAGGGAGGCGACCATCCCTGCAGGTGTCCGGGGCTGGCCCGGCACCACTGAAGCCAACTGTGTTTCAGGAACAAGAAGGCCTACACCAGCTGGAACATGGCCGCCATCATGCAGGGTGACCGCAGTGGCTTCGCACGCTGCGGGCCCAGGGAGCGCCTGGCCAAGGAGATGATCCTGAGGGCCGAGGACGGAGACTATGTCTGGATCTACAAGATCTTGCGGGCCAACCTGGTGAATGCCGACGTGGCTGACGCCAAGGGCTACACCGTGCTCGCTGCGGCCACTGTAAGCCCCATCCTCCCATTGGTGCTCTGTGGGGGCCACAGGCTCACCCTGCCTGGAACGCTGATCCCTGAAGGTCCTGGAGGAGAGCACACCCTCTCATGTGGGGGGCACTCGCTCTCCCCTTCTGCACCAACATAGCAGAGGAGCGTGTCAGGTGCTCTGGGTCAGCTCCTCCTGTCTGTTTAGGGAGCCCTGTCCTCCCCAGCATGAAGCCAACCCACCCATGTGTGCAAGCTCGCATGGGAAAGAAGGCTGGAGGTGGATCGGTTCTTTTCACTCCCTCGACCACGAGCTTGGCCTTGTCCTGAGTGTGATCGCTTGGGGTCAGTGTCCCGGGGCTGCCGCATCAAAATAGCACCAGGCAGCTGGCCTCTGAGGACGGTGCTGGAGACGGGGAGTCTGTGATCGAGGTGTCCGCAGGGCTGGCTCCGTCTGAACTCTAAGGGAGAATGTTCCATGCCTTTCTCCCAGCTTCTGGTGACCCCAGGCTTCCCTGGCTTGTCGATGCACCTCCACATGGCATCCTTTGTCTGTCTGTGTCTCTTCTCCTCCTTTATGAGGCACCACTTATATAGGATTAGGGCCCACCCCACGCTGGTATGACCTCATGCTGACCTAACTGAGGACATCTTCAAAGACCTTATTTCCAAGCAAGGACGTATTCACAGGTGCTGGGGTTAGAACTTCAGCACGTGTTTTGAGGACACAATTCAACCCCTAACACTTGCTGTTCTGTGGTCTCCCATGTTAGCTCTGCACAGGGGGGTCTGTACCAAGGGCCCCCTGCCTCCTGCCCCCCGGGGTCTCACTCACTCTGAGTGAGTCTGCCTCCCCACCCCCTGTCTCACTAAGGGCAAGTCTGCCCCCGGATCTCTCTGAAGGTGGGCCTGCCCCCACCCCCAGGGTCTCACTTAGGGTAGGTCTGCCCCTCCCCCTGTCTCTTGCTCAGGCAGGTCTGCCCCCCCATCTCAGCTGGGTCTTCCCTCTCTGGTCTCAGCTGGGTTTGCCATGTGTCCCCCAGGTCCACTGCCACATGCAGATCATCAGCCTCCTGCTGGACAGCGGGGCTGATGTGAACAAGTGCTCGGATGAGGGCCTCACCCCACTCAGCATGTCGTTCCTCCTCTACTACCCTGCTGGGTCCTTCAAGCCCAACATCGCCGAGAGGACCATGCCAGATCCCCAGGTCAGTCCCCGGGGCCCCTCCATTCACTGGCGACAAGTCCCTCTGTCCATCCCTCCTTCCCTCTTTATGTATTATCCACCTGTACCACTCAGCCACCAGCCAGCTCCCTTGTCCTGGGTGCAGGGTCCATCGGGTGGAGTCAGAGCGTCAGGTCCAGTGGGGCAGAGCAAGGAAGGATGGAGCCTGCACTCTCGCAGGGTGTCGGGCAGGATGCCAAGGGACACGTGTCATCTACACACACGTGCACACTGCTGTGGACCCTGAAACACACCCCCCATGGTCCTTGGGAAATGGTGTGTGGTGGGACGGAGGGAAGGTTCCGGTAGCTGCTGTGGCAAAAATACCACAAATGGTGGCCTTAAAGAACCAGGATTTATTGTCTCACAGTCTGGGGGACTAAGTGTCTGAATTCAGGCTGTTGGCAGGGTGAGGCTCTCTCTCTGTGGCTCTGGGGGAGGAGACTTGTCTCTCTCTGCATCTGTAGTCCTGGGCATTCCTTGGCATTCCTTGGCTGCTTGCAGATGGTCCTGACATGGCATCTGTCTTCCTCTGTGTGTCTATTCCTCTCCTTCACAAAACCCCACTCAGAAGAGATTAGGTCTAGGACCCACCCTGCTCTGGTATGACCTCATTAACAGAACAGAAGAAAAGCCCCATTTCCAATCAGGCTCACTTTCACAGGCCCAGGGGTTGAGGCCTCCGCACCTCCACAGAGCTTTTCTGCAGACACAGTTCAATCCATGACAATGCCCACACGGCAGACCTGACCAGTTCAATCCATGACAATGCCCATGCGGCAGACCTGACCAGTTCAATCCGTGACAGTGTCCACGCGGCGGAC